AGTTAGCTGTTTTCAAGTGATATTGCTAACACCTAAATCTTCTCTTTGCATTCTCTACTCCCCACAACACACACACTTTACCCAACCCCAAGATATAAAAAAATATTTTAAAGAATACTTTGCAGTGGATACAACCTTACTATTATCACCCAGTTTAGATTCAGTTGTGTGAGCAACTATCTATTGAGTCTTCAGAAACAGATCATTTGGTGGTATTTTTGTTTTGGTCCCAGGAGATGTTTAAGACTTCACATTAATCTAGATTTGAGGATTTTCTAAACGTACTTCTTTCAGTGTATAAACATCTTCTTGTTTGAAAGCAAATTTTGTGTTTTTAAAAGTTCTTCAATTCTTTGTGCAACAAAGATATTCAAAGTTAAAAGTAATAATTCACCAAGTAATAGAATCATCACTGTTTCTCTATTAAAATTAAATGTAAGCTTTCCAAAGCCTCTTATTTTGCTCAAACTATCATACTATTTAGGAAATGGCAACCCACTCTTGTATTCTTGCCTGGAAAATCCCATGGACAGAGGATCCTGGCAGGCCACAGTCCATGGGGTCGCAAAGAGTCGGACACAACTGAGTGACTTCACTTCACCATACTCTTTGGATGTGCCCTAACAGTAACTATTGAACTGTAGGAAATAAGTGCTTTCTGGCTATGAATACATATAAATATGTTTAAACTCTAAATAAGGATGTCTACTAAATATAAATTCTTCTAGGTTTCCTGTCATCAAGTTTTCATTATATGATTCTAGAAAAGTATGCAATGGTGTGGAAAAAACAAATGTGTGATGATGGTAACAAATTAATAAGGTACATCTTTCTAGAGACCAAAACAGTCTGAAAACACTGCATTGTGTAATGCTAGATTTTGATCACAGATTTGGAAAGCTCTCTTTTTGTCCAAAGAGATGAGTTACAGAAGAAAAACAAAACAATACCACAGATTGGGAGAAAATATTTGCAAATGATCTGGCCAACAAGGTCTCCAAAATTTACAAATAGCTCATGACACTCAACAGCATCAAAACAACCCAGTCGACAAACGGGCAGAAGACCAGACAGACATTTCTCCAGAGAAGACATACATGTGGCCAAGAAGCACATGGAAAGGTATTCAACACTGCTAATTATTAGAGAAATGCAAATCAAAACTACAGTGAGATATCACTTCATACCAACCAGAATGGTTATTACCAAAACATCCGCAAACAATAGGGTTGGAGAGGGTGTGGAGAGAAGGGAACTCATTTACACTGTTGGTGGGAATGTAAATTGGTACAGCCACAGTGGAAAACAGTATGGAGGTTCCTTAAAAAGCTAAAAATAGACCTACCATATGACCCACTCCTGGGCATATATCCAGAGAAAAACATGATCTGAAAGGACACATGCACCCCCAATGTTCATTGCAGCACTGTTTACAATAGCCAGGACATGGAAGCAACTTGAATGTTCACAGGTTGACAGAGGAATGGATAAGAAAGATGTACATGTATCAGTGGAATATTACCCGGTCATTAAAAAGAATAAAATAATGTCATTTGCAGCAACATGAATGGACATAGAGACTGCCATACTGAGTGAAGTAAGTCAGACAGAGAAGGAGAAATATTGTATGACATCCCTTATTTGTGGAATCTAAAAATAAATGATACAAGTGAACTTACAAAACAGAAAGAGACTCACAGACTCAGAGAAGGAACCTGTGGTTTCTGGGCTGTACGGGGAAGGATGGGGGGAAGGTACAGTTATGGAGTTTGGGATGGACATCTACACATGGCTATATTTAAAATGGATAACCAACAAAGTCCTACTGTACAGCACATGGAACTCTGCTCAACTCAGCCTGGAAGGGAAGGGAGTTTGGGGGAGAAGAGATACACGTGTATGTATGACTGAGTCCCTGTGCAGAAACTGTCACAACATTGTTAATCGGCTATGCCCCAGTACAAGATATGACGTTTATTTGAAAAAAAAAAAAAAAAAAACAGCAAACTTCAGAAAGCGGCTTCCAGAAATGGTACAAATTTCTGTGACAGTGAAATATAAGGAGTCCATTTACATTGATTTTTAAACCTCTTGAGAATTATCATAGGTATTATCCATACTCATAGGGTTGGATGAACAGAAAGACCACAGTGGTAGAGATCACTGTGTACTTTAAATATTAAAGTAATCATCACAGGAGAGTCAATACGCTGATCGAGCTCATCATGTGGGTTTTATGTTACCCTGAGATGAAAGACTCACCTCCCACATTCAGAGAACACACAGAAGGCTAATTTAATCTGAGGTAGACATAGAGGAAACTGCTGCCACTGGGAAATGCAGTGGATTGGAGGTGGGAGCGAAGTTCCACCTTTGACTGTAAAGTTTTCGGTAAAGTTTGAACATTTTGCAATGACCATACATTAAATGCTTTAAAATTTTAAAACCATCAGAGAAAAGTGAAGGAAATGATGATGATGGTCAACCCCCTGGTCCCAACTCTGAAGGAAGGGGTGGGAAGGGGAGGGGGCAGGAAGACAAGAGCCTCAACTCTTTCAATTTAAACTTCACAAACCTGGTGTAATTAGATCCATTTCATATTATTCTTTACATTACCAACTTGAGCTACAAGGTGGAACCTAACTTCTCAGAGGAAAAGAAAGCAAGTCAAACCTCAAAAGTCTGTTAGTCCATGGCTAATGCTCAGTGAGGTATTCAGTGTTCAAATCCTGTACAATCACACATATGAGGAGGGTTTAAGCAGAACTAGGAGGAAAGAGGGCAGAGAAGAAGCTTGAGTTGTAATGGTTAAGAGGCTACTCCTGACCCTTCACTCCCCCAGATGAAAGGCAGAGACCCTACTGTGGGAGCCCACTTTTCCACCCCAGAGATTTCACAGGCACACCTGCCCCTCTGACTCTGGAAGTCAGCTGAGCTCACGCCTCTGCCTCACCTGCAGGCCCACTACCGCAGGCCAGGGAAGAGGGTCCGCCTAGTGGAGAGTGAGGCAGAGAAATTCCGTGGATAAAGCCAGAAGGCTTTGAGTTGTGTTTTTTCACTACAGTGAGCATACTCTGAAACACAATGCTAATTGCAGACGTTCATTTGCTTCACCTGACTTTATTATAAGGCGTTTTAAGGGCTCATGAATGATTCCGCCCTCCTTGCCCATTCAGTGTTTATGAGACGTTCACCTACCTGCTTCGTAATCACCTGGGTTGTCAACTTGCAGATCCCTGGATCCCACCTCAAAACTATTCTCTCCTAATATCAAGCGTTGCCTGCTTACTGAAGTATTAGCCAACGAATACAAATCCGGCTAACTCTGAAGAATATCTGAGCACCAGGGGCCTAAACTGACCTCTCAGTCATTCTACTCCTGATCCCATCAAGGGTGGTCCATTTACTTTGTAACCTACAAAAGGCATCGTCCTCCCCGTCTGGTTCCTGGGCAACCAGGGTCCTGCTGTGTGCTTTAGACAGGCCAGGTTCTCGCCCCCTGGAAGTCAGCCTCTTAGCTCAGCACTTCCTTCTGAACTTCTGTCCCCAGGGTCGATCTTCCAGAGGGTGGAGAGGCTTGTGGTAGCACTCCAGACCGGGGGTCGGGGAGGGCGGCGCTCGTGGCCAAGGGGAAGCTGTTTGGGGCGACAAAGAGCTTGGAGATGCTGGCCAGCATGTCCCTACGCGTGTGCTGGAGGCCCCTCGAAGTGTAGGATGGAGCCTCGGGACACGAAAGAAAGTCGAACCGGCGTCCTCCGTTTGTACTTCTGGTCCGGGGTGTAAATGGCAGGGAGGGCCTGAAACACTGACTCCACTAGTGAAAAGGGAATAAGCATCCTGTTTTGAGTGCGTGTATTCCGTGTTTGCACAAGAGAGAAGATTCAGGAGGCCCACAGTTAGCCCGGAACCCTTTGGTCAGGGAGGACGTTAACCTGCGCCCCAGCGTGGGACTGTCTGGCCTGAAGCATCCGCGTTGCTGGGGTTGGTGAGATACGAGACTCATGTTCCAGGGGCTCACAGCAGAGCTGCAGATCCTTCTTTTCATGATGACCTTGCGCAGGGCATCCTTCTCTCGTCTGTGCCATAACCTTTTCTCGAAACTCCAACTGCAGAGGACAAATGCAGACGCCGTTTCTCGCTTTCTAGGCACAGGCGAATCCCGGCGGACCGCGCAGCGCGCCCCCTTCGCATTTCCCAGTTCTTCCCGCCTGTAAACCGCAGAGCAGCCTCTCCAGGCACCTTCTCAGATGCAGCTCGGAGGGTAGACTCCGGCAAGGCTTTCCGCTTCAGCGAGGCGCCACTCCGCCCGGCCGAGGGCGTGGTCAGCAGGCGCCACCCTGGGTTTCCAGAGGACTCCGAAACAGGTGCCTGGCTGAAATCTGGCGCCTTGGCATCTCCCGTTCCCCTCCAAAGGAAGGCTGCCTGAAATGTTCCGGGCCTGGGACAACAGCCAAGGACGTGAAAACACCAGGACTGGGCGAACCAGGGTTTTGCCCCTTCTTATCCGCCGTAAGGTCGGACTGCGTGAACCCGATCCCACCCTCATAGCCTATCCACCGTCTGGTCCAGCCTTCCCTCCGCGCTCTGCGCTTGGACAGACCAGGTCAACCACACGATGTCAACCACGCTTAGGAGCCCTGGGCGCGTCGAGGAGCGCCCCCTGGCCAACGCCCGGCCCTCCTCCCCATCTTCGCAGGCTGAGCCCTTGCCCCTCTCGGTCCCCAGAGCCCCCACCGTCACCCAGCTGGCCAAGTCCTTTTTGGCTCATTGCAGAGGTGCCGCGCTATTAATGGGGGTGGAGAGGGTGGGAGGCCAGACGTCCGCCTTGCTTTCAGCAGCGACTGGGGCGTCCTGGCTGAGAACACGGACCTGGGACTCCGGTCCCGCCCTCCCCGGGGGCTGCTAGGGCCCGGGACACCTACAGCCACAGGCCAAATAGTGCCCGGAGGGGGAACGGGGGGCGGAACCCAGGCCGCAGCTCCGCGCGCCCGGGCACTTACCTTGCCTCTGGCTAACAATTCCATGATGTAGCCAAATTCACTAATCTCCCCCGACTCAGACATGGTTAAGATCCTTCGCAAACTCTGGAGGAACGAGGCAGGTGCACCGAATTTGTCCTTTTTCTCTCTTTTCTCTGTTTTTAGCCTGAGTTTTGCCAAGCGCCCCGCCAGGATGCTGTTATCGAGGAAAAACGAGAAAGCGAGGGGGAAAAGCAAAACGCGGAGTGGGGTGGGAGGAAGGCCATGGAGGGCTCTGGGCAGCCACGTCTGGCGTTCTCAGCTCAGGACAGGGCGGTGGAACGGAACAACGAGGGCGGTGGCGGCGACCGCGAAATCCGCACCAGGCGGAGCCCGGCTCGGAGGCCCCGCCTCCTCGGGGGTCGCGGCCCGCGCCTCCCGCCCGGGGGTCGGACGGCCGCCGAGACAAACACCGACACAAAAGCGTGTCTGCTCCCGGCGTGGCGCCGAGCCGGCCCCGACACCGGCTGGCCAGTTAAAGCTGTCCTTTATCCGATGCCTGAGACGGTGGCCGTCCGGAGCTCTTCCTGCAAGGCCCGGGAAAAATCCCCATCCCACTGTCTGGAGGTGTGAGGGCAGAGAGAATGAATGCAGAGCAGGCACAACAAAGGGTCTGGCTGACAGCGCCGGAAAAAAAATAAGTGAGGGCCCAGGAAATGGCAACGCCGCATCTCAAGTCAGCCTTCCTGAAACCCGATAGGTAACAAAGACCAAGCCAGCGCTCCTGAGATGAGAACAAACACCAGGATTGTATTTTAAAGACACAAAGTGTGTAAGGTCGATTATATCTCTATATCCTCTTGATACTCAACTTTCCTTTAATTAAAAAAAAAAAAAGACGATTCTGGCCATCAAGGTGTGCTTCCTGGCTAAACATTCTCACCCTTTAGTTACTACTCACTCGCTTTCCAATTATTTTCTTTTTTTTTTTTTTCATTTCATGGAGTTAAACATTAAGTGCCGTGTTTCTCACATTTTACACTTCTTTTTTAAAATAGCAGCTCCCCTAGCAGGCTGCAGCTGAAACTGGCCTCTTAGGCTTCTTTCTGCTTCATTCAAACCTGACAATCTTTGCTTCTCTTGAGAAGAAAACTTGGCTGAACAAAGTGAGGTCTACTGTATTCCTCCACTATAGGCAGTCTCTTATCTTTCTTGAAAAGGAGAAAAGTGATAAGGGCGTGAACTTTTCTTTAAAAAAAAAAAAAAAAAGCCCTTTCTTCTCTGGCCCAGAAATCCAAAAGTACATAATGATTTCTTTTTTCCCTACATACTTCTCCATAAAGCTCTAAGAACGTTTCTTCAGGGAGTTACTTCCCTCCCCACCTTCTTGTTGGTGGTGGTACTGTCCTCTGAGCTGGTGCTGATCCCCTCTTAGAGCACGCAGCAGAAGCCAATGTGCTGGGGGTTCACAGTGAGGGCTCAGCAGAAACTGAGAAACAAGCATGTGTCTTGCTGAGAAGCTTCTTGTCCTTCTCAGGCTCTGTAGAACCTTGGTACGTCCTTTGCTTCCATAAGAAAGCTAGATACAGAGTTCAAGTAAGATCTGTAGCATTCATGAATGGATTCCTCCAATATGTTATGCTAAGTCACTTCAGTCGTGTTGGACTTTTTGCGACCCTATGGACGGTAGCCTGCCAGGCTCCTCTGTCCATGGGATTTTCCAAACAAGAATACTGGAGTGGGTTGCCATTTCCTTCTCCACCAGTATTTGATAGATTGCCAGAAAGAGGTATTGTTTAAAAGAGAAAGTTTTTTCACACCCAGAAATAATAAAAATCACAACATTAGAGCCAAACAACTAGTCTTGTGTCTGCATGACACAGAGTAAGGAGGAAGGAAGAGACGGAAAGAAGTCTAACGTCTCCCTTTAGAAAGCTTTCTCCAAAACCCCATCCAACGACCTCTGCTTACATCTCCCTTGTGAGGACTGGGACATATGTCTTTATCCCTAGCTACAAGGAAGGCTGAGAAGGTGATTCTTTTACTCTGGGAACACTGCCACTCTATAAACAAAATCCAGGATTCATTAGTGAGGAAGAAGAAACAGATACTGAGTGGGAAACTGTCAGTTTCGGCTACCCCTGGGGTAAATCCAGTCAGTTTCCCGAGTTTCAGTTTTCTCTTTTGTAAAATGACTGACTAAACTGTCTCTAACCTCTTCATGGTGTTAGTGCTAATATCTCCCATTTAAGGATCCCTTTGCCACCTGGCAGCACTAGCGGCTCTTTCCCCCCCCCCCCCCCCCACAAAAAACCTGCTCTTATAAAAGATCTGTCCACCCAGTCACTTGCTACTAGAAAATACTTCAGACACAATGTGCTTGACAGTTGCCTGAATTCCCCCCCTAAGACCAAGATGGGGCTGGGGGCAAGGGTCTTAGAATCAGCTGCTATAGAGGCAGGGAGTGAACCTGCCCATGAGAGTCTAGGTATGTGTCCACAAGTTGAACGCTGAGCATCTATTTATTCAGATGCCTGGCGGTATTAACTGCTCTTTATTTAGTCAGTGTGTGAACAGCACTATGGAGCATTAGGAACCTTTCCAAGATGAGCTCGTGTGATTAGTCGCTCAGTCGTGTCCGACTCTTTTTGACCCCGTGGACTGTAACCCACCAGACTCCTCTGTCCATGGCATTCTCCAGGCAAGAATACTGGAGTGGGTTGTCCTGCCTTCCTCCAGGGGATCTTCCCAACCCAGGAATTGAACCCAGGTCACCTGAATTGCAAGCAGATTTGTTACCATCTGAGCCACCGGGGAAGCCCCTTCAAAGATGAAAACAGCATTAACACTTCCCTGACGTTTTCTGTACGGACTTCTTAGACACAGGGTCAGGCACCCAGCAAAACTTGCTTTATTATTTCTCTTACTTCTAAGAAGACAGTAAGATTAGTGCACAAATTAATATCTAACTTCATTCCCCAGAGAAACTAAAATTAAGAAATAAGTGAATTCACATTTCTCAAAAATAATAAAAGTAACAAGGCAGGTGCTGCTTCACAGGGAGCTTACCCACCTAAAAGGAAGATACTTAATAGAGGGATTACATGATGTGTGAATTTTTCACATGGAGAAGTCTAGCAATATTGAGTCCCTCGCTGTGGGAAATCTAATTGCTAGTTTCCATCTAATGGAAAACTTTTCACTATAACGGCTTGACTGCCATGTGGATTACTGAAATAATTGTAACGTATAGAGAGCCACAGGCTTCCCACGTGGCACTAGTGGTAAAGAACCTGCCTGCCAATGCAGGAGACATAAGAGAGGCGGGTTTGGTCCTTGGGTCAGAAAGATCCCCTGGAGGAGGTTGTGGTAACCCACTCCAGTATTCTTGCTTGGAGAATCCTGAAGCAACTTAGCATGCATAGAGAGCCACAGCTTTTAGCTTCGTTTTCACCCAAGACACCCTATTTTCTCTTCCTTGTAGTAAACAACATAGTACAATAGTTTTAACAAATAAGACAAAAAATACACATTCCAATTTTTTTATGACTGTGGACACAAATAATTGTACAAGTTTAGAAATTGAAATCTATGATGATGAATGTTTAGCAGTTTAAGGCTTAGAGACTGGAATTGGGAATATAAAAATATCTTGGTTTTAATAAACTTGCATATTTACTTCGGCAGTCTTTGAGTGCAAACATATTAATAAAATATAGCTTTCTGACACAAATGCATCCTAGCACCTATACCCAGAAAGGTCATTTAAAAAACAATTTTTAACAGCTTTATTGAGGTATGATTTACATACCATAAAACCCATCAATTATAAGGGTATAGTTTAGTAATTTTTATTAAATTATGGAGTTATGCAGGTATCTCATAATCCATTTCTAAAACATTGGAATATCTCTCCATTTATTGACAGGCGGCGATACTCACCACTATACTAGCAAGGTTGGCGGCCTCTTTCCATTTATTGAGATTTTCTCTAATTTCTCTAGTTGTGCTCTATAGCTTTTATTGTTCAGATATATTGCACTGCTTTTGTTAAATGCATTGCAAAGTATCTTATTATTGTAAAAGAAACTGATTTCTTAATTTCATTTTGGGTTGTTTATTGTTTGTATATAGAAATGCAATGAATAATTGCATGGTAGACTGTAGTTTGCAATGTTGTAAAATTCATTAATTCATAATTAAAGTTTTACTTTCTCCTTTCCAGTCTTTATAACTTGGTTTTTCTTGCCTTATCACTCTAGTTAGAACCTCTATTATAATACTGAATAAAAGTGGCAAGAGTTGACATCCCTGCCTATTCCTAATAGTAGAAGAGAAGCACTCCATCTTAACCGTAAATATTGGTTTAGCTACATTCCATACATTTTGATACACTGTGCGTTTGTTTTATTCATTTAGAAACAATCTTGGATTTCCCTGGTGGCCAGTGGTTAAGAATTCGCCTGCCAAGGCAGGGTCTGGAAGATCCCACATGCCATGGGGCACTAAGGCCGTGTGCCCACCGCCAAGAGCCCGTGCTCCCCAAGAAGAGAGAGCACCCCAGGGAGCACCCGGGCAGCACAGCAAAGGGTAGCCCGTCCCCAAGACCAGAGAGAGCCTGTGTGCAGCAACAAAATGCCAGCACAGGCAAAAGTAAAAATGCACAAATTTTTTAAAGAAATGTTTTTTAATTTCCCCCTTTCACAGGCTATTTAGAAATATATTGCTTAATTTCCAAATTATTCAAAATTTCTAAATAATTTAGATTTCCTATATTTCTTCCTGTTGATTTCTCATCTAATTTGAACAAAAACCATTTTAAAAATGATTTCATTGTTTTTTAAATATATTAAGGCTGTGGAGAAACTGGAAGTCTAGTATATAGCTGGTGGTAGTAGAAAATGATGCAGTGAAAAACAGTTCAGTGGTCCCTCGAAAAGTTAAAGATAAAATTACCAGCAATTCCACCTTTCAGAAGAACTGAAAGCAGGACTCAGGAGATACTTGCTTGCACACAAGTGTTCACTGCTGCATTTTTCACAGTAACCAAATGATATAAACAACCCAAGTGCTGATGAGCATATGACTGGATAAACAAAATGTAG